ACGCCCGGCTAATTTTTTTGTATTTTTAGTAGAGACGGCGTTTCACCGTGTTAGCCAGGATAGTCTCGATCGCCTGACCTCGTGATCCGCCCATCTCGGCCTCCCAAAGTGCTGGGATTACAGGCGTGAGCCACCGCGCCCCGCCTCCATTTCTTTCTTTTCTGCTTCTCCTCCCATACCTTAACCAGGAGCAATTAACCAATATTTTCTCTGTGAGAGATCAGAAGATAAGGGTAAAGAAGAAGGATTGTTTTAGAATAGAACCAAGTTTCTCACTTCATGCCTCCAGCGTTAGAAAACTCATTATTGGGCCAGGCGCAATGGCTCACGCCTGTAATCCCAGCACTTTGGGAGGCCGAGGTGGGCGGATCACAAGGTCAGCAGATCAAGACCATCCTGGCTAACAGGGTGAAACCCCGTCTCTACTAAAAATACAAAAAATTAGCCGGGCGAGGTGGCGGGCGCCTGTAGTCCCAGCTGCTTGGGAGGTTGAGGCAGGAGAATGGCATGAGCCTGGGAGGCGGAACTTGCAGTGAGCCGAGATTGCACCACTGCACCCCAGCCTGGGCGACAGAGCAAGGCTCCATCTCAGAAAAAAATAAAATTAAATTAAAAAAGAAAACTGATTATTGGCCAGGTGCAGTGGCTCACACCTGTAATCCCAGCACCTTGGGAAGCTGAGGCAGGATAATTGCTAGAGGCCAGGAGTTTGGGACCAGCCTGAGCACCATAGCCAGACCCTGTATGTAGCCAGGCAAAATGGCATGTGCCTATGAAGGGAGGATTCACTTGAGTCCAGGAGGTTGAGGCTGCAGTAAGTGGTGACTGCGCCATTGTCCTCCAGCTTGGGTGATAGAGTGAGACTCTGTCTCAAAAAAAAAGAAAGAAAAGAAAAAAAAGACCTCATTATTTATATAGATCTAAACCACTGTTAGGTAGAATTTGGGGGAAGGTTCTCTAACCTATTTTTAGTATGGCCAAACCACCCTTTCCTCTTTTCAGATCTTACTGTTTTGTTTGCAGAGAAGGGCTTCAAGGCCAAAAGGCATACTGTGTTAGGGTCTGTGTCAGGCAGACCCTTTTGGGTTCCAAGAACAGAGGAAGATGAGGCTGTGGGAGGGAAGACCATAGGATGATAGAGAATTGGGGCCAGGCACAGTGGCTCATGCCCATAATCCTAGCACTTTGGAAGGTCGAAGCAGATGGATCACTTGAGGCCAAGAGTTCAGGACCAGCCTGGCCAACGTGGCAAAACCCTGTCTCTACTAAAAATACAAAAATTAGCCAGGCATAGTGGTGTACAGCTGTAATCCCAGCTACTCGGGAGGCTGAGGCACAAGAATCACTTGTACCCAGGAGGCGGAGTTTGCAGTGAGCCAAGAATACACCACTGCAGTCCAGCCTGGGCAACAGAGCAAGACTATCTCAAAAAAAAAAAAAAAAAGCCAGGTGCTGTGGTTCATGCCTGTAATCCCAGCACTTTGGGAGGCCAGGCTGGGAGGCTGAGGTGGGAGAATCATTTGAACCTGGGAAGTGGAGGTTGCAGTGACCTGAGATTGCACCATTTGCACTCCAGCTTCGGTGGCAGAGTGAGACTCTGTCTCAGAAAAAAAAAAGAGAGAGAATTGAGTTGCAAGGGCCTAGCAAAAGTGCAGCTCCCTGGGCTATAGACTTTGACCTTGTCCAAGTCATTATCCCTCTGCTTCCTTATCTCTCTTTTAATGAAATGAAAACAATAATTATCACGTACCTGTCTCACAGGTTTAGGAGGATTAAATATGAAAGTGTTTTGTGAAGTGTGAAACAGATAAACTACATAGATGAAATATATCATGACATTTATTCAATTACACAGCACATACTTCCCCCTATGTTTCTCCTACTGCTAGTGTAGCAGGACGAGCCGCAGACAAAACTCCTCCGACACCAGATTAAAGAAGGAAGAGGTTTTTTATTCGGCCGGGAGTGTCGGCAGACTCGCGTCTTAAGAGCCGAGCTCCCCGAGAGAGAAATACTTGGCCTTTTTAAAGGCTTTAAGGGGTCCACGTGAAAGGGTCATGATAAATCGAGCAAGCATGGGAAACATGACTGGGGCTACATGCATCAGCTAACAGAACAAAAAGTTTTACAATGCTTTTTTCATACAGTGTCTGGAATTTACAGATAACACAAGTAGTTTAGGCCAGGGGTTGATGTTATTATTATTACTTTGTTTAACTCCTAGGGCCGGGTGGTGGTGCCAAGGTTGTCTGGCTATTTATCTTACTTTTGTTTCTTTCTCCCTTTACTCCTGTCTTGTGAACTAGGCAAGGGAGGAGGGCAGCAGGAGTAGTAGTGGTCTCCTTCCTTACTAGGCTTGGAGAAACATAAAGGATAAGAGTTTTTATCTTTTCATGAACTCAAAAAGCTAGAGGGTACTTTTAGGATAATGGGTAGGATGCAGCCTTCAGACAATGAACCTAAACACAAGAATAGAATTGGTCGAAAGCCGGCTGTGGTTAGGCCACTGAAAGGTGGTCTAGATTGAGTTGCAAGGGGACAATAACAATCTCAAGATGTCTTTGCCAGGCGCAGTGGCTCACGCCTGTAATCCCAGCACTTTGGGAGGCCAAGGTGGGAGGATCACATGGTCAGGAGTTCAAGACCAGCCTGGCCAATATGGTGAAACCCTGTCTCTACTAAAATACAAAACTTAGCCAGGCATGGGGCAGGCACCTGTACTCCCAGCCACTCGGGAGGCTGAGGCAAGTGAATCGCTTGAACCCGGGAGGTGGAGGTTGCAGTGAGCAGAGATTGTGCCACGGCACTCCAGCCTAAAAATAATCTCGATAGAGTGAGACTTGGTCTCAAAAAAAAAGATCTTTGACCTGGTAGGTGTGCCCCCAACTTTCTTTCCAGTGTGTGTGTTACCAAGGTGAGGGCTGAAGCTGCTCAAATGCTCCATGAGTGGGAGGAAGCTGTGGGATGATGGGGAGGGTTCCCACAAAGATGGAGCCTCGTCAGCCTTTCTCCAGCACCGGAAACCACAGGAAATCAGGTCAGTGTGTGGGGCCCGCTCCCTCCACTCCAGGGCTCAGCTATGAGCTCTGGGGCTTCCTGAGCAGGCTGTACTGACTAGTGGGTCCTTGACGCTAGGGGCCCCTTTGGTATGGAGCCCTTTGCCTAGAAGAGCTGGACCTGGCTCATGGGTAGAGAGAACTTGGCTATAGTCCTGAGAGTTAACCAGGTGGGAAGCCAGGGTACATATGGGTTTCACGTGCATCCTAGAGTGCTTTTTTTCCTCCCCACTCTAAATGGTGCCTCAGTCACCTCTGTATCTCCAGCACCCAGTGCTGAGTAGTGCTTAAGAGCTCGACTAATTCTCTAAGTGAGGGGGTGAAGCACATGTCTGTGGGAGACACAAGTTCAACAGTGTGCTGATGGGTGGGTCAGATCTGCAGTGTGTTTCAGGAGTAGGAGGGGCTAAGAAATGCGTGCATCCCCCAACCTGATGCTAGTCCCTTTCCTGTTACTTCTCAGTCACCGCAGGAGCCCCTTGTCTTTCAGGTGGGGGGCAGTAGGGTTTTGGGGGGCACAAGCTTTCCTCAGTCCCTCCACCTGGAGGGGAAGGAATGTGGCCTGGCTGGCTGGTTGGGATCAAGGAGGAGCTTTCAGGCAGGGCGGGGCCAGGGCAGGCTGGGGCGAGGGCTCCTGCTGGTACTGTGTTCTTCGCTGCTGCACAGCAAGGCCCTGCCACCCACCTTCAGGCCATGCAGCCATGTTCTGGGAGCCCTAATTGCACAGAAGCCCATGGGGAGCTTCAGACCGTCAGCCCTGCTCCTGGCTTTCCTCCTGGTAGTCATCGACCTCTCTGACTCTGCTGCGATTGGCTGTCCCCACCTGCCCCACTGGAACACCCGCTGTCCTCTGGCCTCCCACATGGTAAGGTGCTGCTGCCAGGTAGGGACACCTGCCTAGCACAGCTATAAAGCTCCCCACTCCCCTGCCCGCCCTGTGCTACCTCTGCAGTCCCTGTGCTCTGGTGGCAGCTTCGATGTGTCCTCTACATAATCTCAAAGGGGTAGCCAAGGTCCTTTGTGCTGACGGCCTGGACAGGGTGGAGCTGGGAAGGTAAGAGCCAGAGGGTATGGGCTATTAGCTATGGGACTCAGAATTCGCTGATTTGAAGCAAAGACCCCAAGAATGCTCCTTATGGGAGTCTGTCCTAATAATAGCTCTCTCCTTTCTTTTCCCTACTGGGCCCTGTGCCTCAGGATGATAGTTTCACTGGTGAGTCGCGTTTCCTGCCCCATTGCTCCTCCCCACGCCCACTATTTCTCCAGATGCCCAGCAAGCCCTCCATTCTAATTTTCGGTTCCCAACCTGGGAAGTACCACAATATCAAGGAAAAAGTTTGGAATCATGACAAGCCTGGATTCACGTTGCAGTTCTGCCAGACTCCCGTGTGGCCTCAGACTGTGCACCTAACCCCTCCAACTAACCCTCAGTTTCTGAGGGGTAGTAGCACAGTAGAAATGATTGTACACTAAAGGCAGTGTTGCTTTTGATCTGTAAGGAGGATTAGATGAGAAACATGGGTAAATCTCCAGGTGCTCCGTATATGTTGGTTCCTCCCCTTAACTGATCCCTCACTTCTATCAGTAATACAACAATAATCCTTCCTATTTTATGGTATGTTCTACTTCACAAGACATTTTCCCATGCACTACTATTTTGATTTTTATAACAGACCCCCTTTATGAATGAGGAAACTGATCCTTAGACAGGTCCTATAACCCCCCAAGTCATACTTCCAGGATGTAAGTGACAGAGCTTGGCCTCAAATCCAGCTTGTCTGAGGTAGGAGGGACCTTCTTAGACCCTATCATTTGCTTTCCCTTCCATCTTTCCCAGGAAGTTCTGCCCATATCCCTTGCCGCACCTGGTGGGCCCTCTTCTCCACAAAGCCTTGGTGTGTGCGAGTCTGGCACTGTTCCCGCTGTTTGTGCCAACATCTGCTGTCAGGTCGCTCAGGTATGAGAAACAGGCCCTTGGGCCATTCTCAGTGAAGAGAACATTTTGAGCGACCGCCTAGGCTGAGCAAGTGGGACTTACTAGAATAGATATTTGTCTTGTTGTAACCTCAACGGGGACTTGGATTATCCTAAAATAGCACAATGACTGATATTCATGAATCCAATTGTACAATTTTATGAAGGTATTTTTTTCAGCTGAGATTCTTGGAATTAAAAGCTATGGATTTATTGTTATTACCATTTATTTGTAAAGCAGGATCTTCTTTCTTACTCTATATTTGAATTGCTCAGCTCAGTGCCTGGTACATACTAAATGCCCTTACATTGCTTAAGAATTGGCAGTTTCTAGGCTAGGCGTGGTGGCTCACACCTGTAATCCCAACACTTTGGGAGGCTGAGGCAGGCTGATCACCTGAGGTCAGGAGTTTGAGACCAGCCTAGTCAACATGGTGAAACCCCGTCTCTACTAAAGATACAAAAAATTAGCAGGGTGTGGTGGCGGACACCTATAATCCTAGCTGCTCAGGAGGCTGAGGCAGGAGAATCACTTGAACC